GGCCATGGACGCCTGCAAGTTGGAGCCGAGCGGGAGGGTGTGAGCGCGCCGGGAGCCGGGAGCCCGGGCCGTGCAGCCCGGCAGCCGGGCGCGCCGGGGGTGGGTCCCTCTCCCCAGCCCGGCTCTGCGTGGAAGAAGAGGGCGGGACCGGCGCGGGGAGGAGAACGGAGGAGGCGAAGGGGGCATGACTCGTGCAACTTGCGGCGGGCATCTGCCGAGCTTCTGAGCCGGCGGCAGCCCGGGCCCGGATTGCAGCCGCGCGCGCAGAACCCACCCAGCCCACCCCGCCCCGGCCGACGGCTGCGGCTGACCTGGATCCTTCGAGTGCCTGCGGGCCGCCAGCGATCCGCCCTCGTCTTCCGGGCTGGTTTCTGGAGCGCGGGGAGCGCCCTGCTCGCCGCCCCTCTCGCCGGACCCCCGGCCCCCGATGGCTCGGATGGGGCTCGCGGGCGCTGCTGGACGATGGTGGGGATTCGCTGTCTGCTTGACTGCTGTCTTCTTCCCAGGTAGGCGCGTTCACCTCTGCCTCCCCACCCACCCCACCCAGCCAGCGCCTCCCCCGGGCTGGGAGCTGGATGGCGGGCACCATCGGATTGCAGGGAGTGAACGGAGACAGAAAAGTTGGGTCACGGCTCGGGTAAGGGGGTAGGAGGTGGCACGGCGGAGAAAGGGACGTTGAGAAGCCGAGCAGCCTGCCCTGCAGGGAAGCGGTCGGATGCACGTCTCCAAAGAAAGCACTTTCTCCTCTCAGTTCTTCACGAAAATAATAATATGTAATAGCGTTCTATTTATTTAATAACCAGTTCTAGGCTCGAGAAGCAGTTTGGAAACACTGCATGTTACATAAATGCAAAATAATCACGGTAATCACCGTCTGGGGTATAAGACGACAGCCCCAGGGGGAGGGTGTCAGTCGGAGCTGGAGGGCTGTGGGTCAAGAGGACGCATGGGGGCTTCGTTTCTTTCGTCGGCCCCTTGCGAGACGGTCGCAGGCGCTCGGGCCCCTCCCGCCCCACGTCTCCTCACCGCGGACGCGGAGAGCCGGCTTCTGGCTCCTGCGGCAGAAGCGGCTTCTCGCTCACCTGCGGGTCCTTTTCCTGGAGGGTGAGCGACTCCCCCCCCCCCCCCCCCCCCCGCCATCGCAAACTCCCGGCCTCGCGCGGGACTGGGCTCCGCCTGGGAACTCCGCTCCTGAAGCGGGGTTCTCCCCGGAGGAGACGCCGCGGGCTTCGTGCCAGCCAAAGTGGTTGCATGACCCACTTTCCCGAGGGACCCTGAGGGCGCTCCACATGTCCTTCCTCGAGGTGCCAGCAGCCTAGGGGTTAACTCCAGGCCCGACCCTGGGATAGCCCTTAGTAGCCCATTCTGACGGGTGCGGTGGGGGTGGGGCGGGGGTGGAGGCGGACCGGCCCAGGCACATTGTGCTGGGGAATGAGCTGGAAAATGCGTTTAGGAGGCAAATCCCACCGGGTCATCTTGCCTGGTTTTAACCCTTTATGTCCCTGGGGAAGCTACCGGGCCTCCAGTGGGACACCCAGTTTGGGTCAAGGTGGGGGCAGGGTCCCTCTAGCCCTCTGGGAAGAAGCGTGAGATGATGTCCGGCCCTAGCCAGCTAGGTTTTGAGGGGGAAGGTGGCCCTCGAGTCGGAGCACGTGGTCTTTGCCTTCGTGGGGCAGAATTAGGGGGGTAGCAATAAAGACTAATTCCTCCTGGCCTAAGAATATTAGCTCCCCAATCTATGGTGCTGCAGACTGGCCCCCCAGTTTATTAACAAGGGAACAGCCAGGCTGTCCATCTATGGGGCCTGTGTGCCATCTGGGAAGGCAGAACCCCGGCCTCATTCACTACTTTGCCCCTTCTCTTGCCAGCCAGCCCACTGCTAGGGCTCCCTGAAGCTTGCTCAGGGGTGGGTGCCAGGGAAAGCGGTTTATGAAAACAGGTAGGGGGTGTCCCCACCCCTGCTGCCAAGAGTGCCTGCCTCCTAGGATGAGGGGAGTGTAGATTCACAGGGGCGTGCCTGAACCCCTCCACAGTGTGGTCTTGGTCAGAGAAGGAGGTCTTCATCTCACACTGGATAGCCCAGGAAGCCAGCAGGGGTTAGAAGCTCAGGCTGCAGGACATACCTGACCACCAGGGCTTGAGCTTCTGGGAATCCTTTGATTCCATTTGTCCACATCCAAAATCCAGAGAAAGCTTTCCCAGAGCACTGGTGGTTTCTAGCACACTAGGGGTTAACCTAGTACTGGGATGGACAAAGGGCCAGAAGGTTTGGAGAGGAGGGTGACCAGCTCACCCCTTTCCCCGCTCCTTTTGTTGCTCTCCCCAGCTTTGTGTTGAAGGCTGGTTAATTCTATTTGGGGGATGGAGAAGAAGAGGCCTGCCACCCACTTGAGGCAAGGGCAGGGAGGTGACACTTGCCTGGTTCATAGTGGATACCCCTCCACACACTAAAAGTCCAGATAAGGGGGTGGGATGCCTAAAACAGAACCACAACTGAGATAGGCACTTAAAAAGTGTTCTTCCCCTGATGGTGGCTGATGCAGGGGCAATATCAGAAGCCACCGAAGTTCCTAGATTCACCAGACTCCTAGACCCAGTGCCTGATGCCTGTGCTTGCTTTCTCTGGGGTCAACTGTGGAGGGAGGGAGGTGGAAGTGTCCACTCTGACCCTTGGGGAGAGAAGGCCAGAAGATCCTGAAGTTGCCCAGCCAGCCTTCACTTTGCGCCACTCCCCAGCTCCCTACCCACTGCTCACTTTCACTTCTCTCTGGAGACTTGACAATCTGCTGTTCTTTTCTGGGTTCTCCTGGACTGTGACAGGGAATGTTGAGTGGGTGGGGAGGGAGGAACCCCCCATGTGTGTGATGGCCCCTGACTTCAAAACACTCCCAATCTGGCAACTGAAGTGTGCACGCAGAAGAGTTTCGACAGTGTGGAGCGGAGCAGGCAGGGTGATGAAGGGCCCTCAGCCCCTCTGTTTCCTGAGATGACAATCTGTGCTTGCTTCCCGCTAACTTAGAAGAGAGGGTCAGTGGGGCATTGGGCCACAGCCTGAAGAGGGACTGGGCCGCCAAAAGCGGAGGACAAGGCAGAGAACCTGCCTGAGAAGCAGGTGTCCCACCCACACCACACCCTCTCTAATTGGCTTCCCTACACCTTTTGTCTGGAAAGAGAACACACACCCCAGGTGTCATGCACACCCTCAGAAGACCTGTCCAGCCACCATGTACCCCTCTGCGGCCTGTGCTCAGCTCCCTGTCATGGTGATTTCCTTTAACACTCCAAGTGTAGGAGCTGTTGGTTATTTTCCTCTCTCTCCATTTTCCACGGACCATGGTGTGCTCAGACTTGCTAGGTAGAGCGTTATAGCAAAGCCAGTTCTGCTGGCCTGGGGCTTGCAGTATGTGTCCACAGCCGTTTCCAGGGCTGTTTACAAGGCAGCACTGTGGAGGTGTCTCCGAATCCAATTCAAGGCCTCATCGTCAAGGTTGGAGGGGAGGAGGAGGCTGCAGAACCTAGGCCCAGTGGCCCTGTCTGAGTGGCTTAGAGGGTGTCTCTTAAACCTGGACTTCTGAGCATGTGGGATAGTAGCCCCTGGATGTTTGATGCTGGTGGAGACCAGGAGTGCTGTCAGTTCTTTTGTGGACCACTTGGCTTTGCACAGTTAATCCACTTTGTCCATGTTTGGGCTGCCTGACCTGTGGACCCAGTGGTATTCTGCCAGCATGGTTGTGCCAGCCAGAGCCCTAGTGCTGACAGCTGAGCCAGTGGGCCAAGCTGGAGGGGCAGAGGGGCAGCTCCAGTTGCTGTATCTGTGATGCTGCTATTGTTTAGCAGCTGACTAATGTTCATTGTTCAGCACAAATAGAAAACACCCAAGGGAGGTGTGAATGTATCTTCGATTTTTTTGATTATATCTTTCCTGGTTAACATGGTAAATGAAATACCTCTTACTTGGGGAAAGATCAAATGGAGAGGTAACTACATATTTACCTGATTCTTTTTTAACTTTGAACATTTGCCAGCATGCCAGGCTAGAATGAACATTAGCCAATTGTGGAACTTATCCTAAAACATTTCTGACAGTCCCACCTTTGGTCTAGACTGGGTGTAGGCACACACATGTGCAGGGCTTTGTGTGTTTGTGTTGTTGATCTACAGTTCACTACTGCAAGTACAGATTCATGAGGACTGAAATTAGGAGGTGGGTATACTGAACTGTGGGTTACCATGCGATTGGTACCATAAATACATAATATCAAATGGATGTTCACAAATAGCTGATTTCTTACAGCATACTAATGGATTATGTGAATGGTTTGGGGCCTTGATAATGCCTGTGCTTATGTCAGAGTATCAGGTGACTTTGGGAAGAGACCCAGGATTTGCCCTTGGCCAGCTCTTTCCAGGACAAGCTGCCAGATCTGAGTCTTTTGGGGGTGAGAAGCCTGGATGCTGCTTCCTTTTTGTCTTCTGCCCTTGGCTTTAGACAGCCTCTACATCCTTCCAGGGAGGTGTCTGAGACCTTGACAGTTACCCAGAGACCTTCCTCTCTTGTCAGCCTTCTGTTGTCTCCCTGGCAAATAGAGCAGTGCTGGAACCCGGTGCTAACTGGGGCCTGGCCTGCCCCCACGGGTTCTCCTGCTCCCTGAATGGCTGGGAGGAGCCAAGGGAGACAAGTTTTCAGCTCCTAAATTAGCATCTTTGCTTCCTGCATTTGTACCTGGGAAAAAGAATGGGAAGAAGAAGGGGTGGTAAACATACCTTGAGCTTTAAAAAAAAAAAAAGGTTATGATTGTGGGCTTTGGCTCTGTATTAAGAGAAGTACAAGGGACCCAGGGCAACATAGGCATGCCTGGAAGCATCCTGGTTTGAGTGGCAGAGAGTAGGAACCCACTTGTTAGAAAAGAAGCAGGAAAGAAGGGCAAGGAGTAGGGAGAGGGCAGCCCAGGAAGCCCAGTTCCCCATGCCCAAGGCCAGCTGGGAAATGTCCCCCCATGATGCCCGCCCTACTCCATGGAGACCAGGTCTGCAGAGCCAGCAGCAGATGTGCCTGCTGGGGCAGAAGGTAACTTAAGATCTGAGCAGGGATCACCTTGCAGAGGGAATGCCCTGAGCTGGAGATAACACCCCCTCCATCCACTTAACCCTTGCAGCTCTGGATTCTCTTGTGTTGTTTGGACCTGGCAATGGAGAAAGGGAAGAGATGTGAGAAAAGACATCAGACATACTGTCAGAACCGTGAGCCATCCTACGAGAAGAGATGAACTCTGTAACAGGAGAGACTCAAGAAGGACACAAAAAAAGACTTTCTGGCAGCAGATTGTAGGCAGTTTGAGGCAATGGATAATCCCAGGTTTATCCTGGGCAGGGGTTGGGGAAGACTATAGGTATATATTCTTGGGGCCCATGGAGCTGTGCTTTTCACAATTCCTCGGGCAGGCATGGCAATAGATGGCTCCGTCCTTTCCTTATACCCTGGTGGTGACCCACCTTGGTGGCCCAG